TGATGAGCTAGCCGCGATGGACCTCAGCATGATCGCTGTCGCTCTGACACAGTCATGAGTAGTATGAATTTTTAACAGTTATGCCAGTTTGGTTATATTTTTCATCATTCCCGTTTTTTCTCTGTTTTGGTTTTTGAACACGAAATTTATACACTATACGAGTGTTAGCTGTGTTTGATTGTATTACCGTAGATAAGCTTGCAATCTAACTGAGCGTGAAAACTTTAAAACTCGGACTGTCCATTTTGTTTTCTCTTTGGGGATTTCCGTCTCTGCTCACGTTACAATAACGTAAATAACTGCGCCTGATATTTTTCCAAACCTTTGCTCGCTTGTTCCGAAATTTCACTTTCAATTAAAGAAAGAAAAGCTAGAAAGAAGTCCCGGAAAAGGTCGGATATAGTACAATTTGGCAGATGGCGTGACAGCTGTAGTTCAGTTCTATGCGCTATACTCTCATAGAGCACGCTCTTTTAACCAATGACAGCACGCCTGATATCCGAAATTTATTATAATTAACAAATAGAGGAGCCTTGACTGTGCTCTGTTCTGTTATTAAGCACGCAGGAAGCGGCTAGAGCACGAAAGAAGTGCAGGGAGAAACACGAGACGTAGACTCGTGTTTCGTCCTACACTTCTTTCGTGCTCTAGCCGCTTCCTGCGTGCTTAATAACAGAACAGAGCACAGTTAAGGCTTCTCTATTTGTTTTATAATAAAGAATCCATTAAATTCTCCAAGCAATACTTTCAAAACAAACTTTATTTCCAAAGGGAACAACAGTGTCGTCAGCATGCTCTATACTCTCAGAAAGCACGCTACAATAAGCCAATCAGAATCCCTGTTAGAATGGTTCAAATAACCTGATTGGCTGTACAAGACTAAAGCTGTCAAAAGTGTCAAACCAATAAAGTTAAAAAACCATTAAAGTTAAAAAACCATCAAAGTTCACATTCTGCGATAGTTTACAAACTGAAATAGTTCGGCAGGTCGAATTTAACACTTTTTCCTGAAGTTTTTAAGTCTCTAATACAGAATCTTGGAGTGAAATGTGCAGTGAAATTCAGCCGAATTATGGCTCATAAAAACACGCGAGTTTTTTCATATGACAATGTAGAAAACAAACTGTGCAAGTCGAGTGTTTTTTGAATGAACGACAGCCGAATTCACCGGAACATGAAGATCGCTCGGGATGACAGCGCATATTCGCTCAGACACCGTCATGATTAGTATGAATTTTAACAGTTATGCCAGTTTGGTTATATTTTTCATCATTTCTTTTTTGTTCTGTTTTGTTTTTGAACACTGAACTCTATATACTATATGAGTGTTAGCTGTGTTTGATTTTTATTGCCGTACGTGAGCTTGCAATCTAACTGAGCGTGAAAATCTTTAAAACCCGGAATGTCTATTTTGTTTTTCCTTTAAGGATTTTTGTATCTGCTCACGTTTTAGTAAAGAAAATCACGGCGCCTGGTATGTTAACAAACATTTGTTTGGTTCTTTTGTTGCTACTTGCCGACTCGCTTGTTCCGAAATTTCACTTCAATTTCAATTATCGGGAAAAAGCTAAAAAGAAGTCCCGGAAAAGGTCGAATATAGTACAATTTGGCAGATGACGTGACAGCTTTAGCTCAGCTCTATGCTCTATTTAACAAATAGATTCCAAGTTTCCGCGGGTCTGTTTAGTAATAGATCACAGAGGACGTCAAAATGTGATAAGAACAAAAAAGTGGCAGATGAAGCGCAGCCGAGTGTGTCACTGATATCTTTGTTAGTGATTGAGCGCAATGCATTCTGAAACGATTCGAAAGTACAGAACTTGACCATATAAAAAGTAGAAAGTTGACCACATAAAAAGTCGAGTTGACCATATAAAAAGTCGAGTTAGCCATTTAAAAAGTAAAATTTGATCTTATTAAAAGTATAAAGTTGACTACATAAAAACTAGATTTGACCATATAAAAAGTAAAAAACTGAACGTATAAAAAGTCGAATTGACCATTGACTGGGTAAGGGAAATACAGGGGGAATATTGACTGGTTTGGCACCCCACATATTACTGTATGTATGTAAAGTATAGGACATGATATGTAATTAGTGGATGATAATTCCCCATATGAGACATACGAAGGTAGCTGCATGAAGATACCGCTGACCAGCATGCGTGTTGATCGCTTTGCAAGCTCCCTAAATCCCCTTGGAGGAACTCTTCTACAGCCAGTGCTAAAGAGTTTTCTTACAGTTTTTTGATAATGACGGGCTAGAAAATAAACTAACTAGAGCTGCGCCTTTTAGGGTTGGTTAAATCTATATATTATACACTGTTTTGTCAAGGACTTCGCCTTGTAAGCAGGGTTTTTATTAGAAGCCGGGTCCCGGGTACCGGCACCCGTCTACTTTAAACAGAGTTCCCGGCTACTTAAAGCACCAAATTAAAAAAATAAAATAGTTATGAAAAAAATTATCAACTTCAACTTAATTTTAACTCTTCCCTGTAAGTTTAAAGCATTTTTTCTGCACTTATTTATCAATTACTTGCGATCAGATTGTGGAAATAAAATTTACTCTGATGAGAAAGGCGCTGTGCGATAATAGGGAAACCACGCGACGGCAACGAGGACATGGAAAAACAAAAGATATAATAGGCAGAACAATAGCTCAGCACGTGCGTTTGTACATTTCTGAGCCGTACAATGCAAAACAACAATGTGAAATCCCCACAATTTGCGTCGTCTGCGAACCGAAACCGCGACGGCAAATTATTTTAATTTCTAGTTGGACCTCAACACTTCTTTGATACGCTATGCTGAAGTTGAGGTGTGGCACCGTATGAGACGGTAAACACATGCAGCCATTTTTGAAATTCAAATTATAGGCAGTAATTCATTTTTTAAACGAAGTCTTCCTTGGCGTTGCCGTCCTGACTGCTTAAGGTCCCTAATAGCGTTCTTAGAACTGTCTCTTTCTAAAGTGCCTAATTAGCTATTAAATAACTCTTAAACGTGACGTGCCATAAAATCGAGTGCGTTCTGCGGAGTTATCGTGGCAAGCAAAAGTAAAACTCACGCAAGCACTCCTTTGCACATGAAAAGTCAAGAGCGATGACCTAAAAAATTGAATTAATGTTTTAGTTGGATTACAGCCGTGAAAAGGCTTTTCGAAAAATTACGTACGCTATCTATGCTTTCCATCATTTAAACTCTTCATAAAACACTTTAAAATTCAGAATATAAAATAAACATCAGGAGACGAATGTCGCCGTAAAAGATGCTTATCAGCTGACACGGCCTCTTAGTAAGCCAACATTTAGCTGACTTTTAAGCTCAAATATTCCGAGCAATTGAAAGAAACTTTGATCCAATTTAATTTCATTGAAGATAAAGCCCATCGGAGGTTTTGAAAAAATTGTTTTCAGCGAGGGCTGATTGTGTATCAGACTCTTGTGTTCCATCAACATTTGTTTTAAATTTTTAACTGCTGGGTGATATATGGTGACAAAAGGAATTAATGTAAATGATTACGGCTCTGACTTTGAGTTTTCATAAACTACAAAGAGTGTTGTCAGTTTCACTCTTTAGAAGAAGAAGAAAGGAAGCTCTGACAGTAACAGCAATGTTTTGATGAAGCTATAGCTGTGTAGAGAAACAAACAAATTCTCTTAGATTACCATTACTTTTACTATAATCAGATTAAGTATGCTTCATTTCAGAAAGATTTCTTCACCAGATTGCAGAAAAATGCGTTTCTGGGAGACTTAAGTTTTAAAAGTTTCCGGGGGGAGCATCCCCTAGACTCCCTTGAGGTTCAGGCCTTCGGCCCTCGATTATACAGTGTACCGGCTAACTCACAAGGCAGTGCCCTTCTACTTTAAAAGTAAATGAAAACCCTGTTTATAACGTACTTACACTATTTCTGCCTGGTGTCCGCCAAGTTTTCTCAGCCTGGACGCTCAAAATGCTGGATCCAACCTAAGGGTATTCCACGTACGTTATGCATTGAGCCTGAAGGAAACCATTCGGTCAGACCGTAGAATTATTGAAAAAAATTGAGCTTCTAACGAGAGGTTTAGCTCTAGGTTTGGCATGTTATAATTAGTGAACGAAAATGTGAGACATTAACAAGTTCATATGATACTGTAGGAAAATGAAAGAAGAACAAGGAATTAGTTTACCATAAACTTCAAAAAGCGAAAAAAATGTATTTTATTAAATTACCTTTTCAGACTAGAAATATATATTATTACTGATACTTAGCGTTTTTTTTTTTTGCGAACGAAAACATCTGCCACAGTTCCCATCATCTTCTTCTCCAATGTGGAAACCTCCCCCCCATCCATCCGAAAAAAGAAATAAATCTATTCATGCTCTGATTCCCGATATATTTCAGGGAAACAAATATGCAATGGTAATTGATCTTGTTTGAATGAAGCAATGGCATGCTAATTCTCACGCACTGTTTCAGATTGTTTATCTTGCGTGACATCGATGTAAAAAGCAAAATACTGACCAACTTATTCATTCTGATCTTCCAGGCGTCTTGCAACAGTATCTTAAATTGGGGGCTTTTTTTTCGGTATCCAAATTTTACCTGTTACTCGTGTTGTAACGCAAAGAAACCTTCTCCGCATGCCTGGCCCCTCTCGCCTTTCGCTTGCCGCAGGCTAAGTGTGTTTACAGTTTGTCACGCAGTTTCATGCAAGACCGGCTAACGTTGTTAAAGTAGATTCAGTGGTGAAGATAACCGCAGGTGCTTTCCAAGTTGGAAATTTATCATTAAAATTTCATATAAAAATAGAATTTTAGATAGAGTAACCTAAAAACGTAGATCGTGCTTCCTCGCACGAAGCTAAAGCGCGTTTGTCCATGACGTCATACTTTGGCAGTGACGTAGTGTAGACATCCTTCCTAAACTTATTCACTTTTGTCTCCCGAGCTTGCGGAACGTAGTTATAAGGTCCACTCTTCTAACCTACGTATACCGAGGTCTTTTGGTGGTAAGTAGAGCTTCGCTTGAAAATTAAATAAACTAATCAAATTTCATGAATCTTAAATCAGAATTTCAGCGGTGAACATTGACTGCAAACCATGGCTTATGGCAACGTTCGATTTAGTTCGAATCAGAGACCTGTAACAGTTCAGTCCATCGTAGAAAGTTTGATGATAATTCGAAGAAATGTGGCGAATGCACGGTTTTAATGATATAAAATTGCTCAGCCTTTATGGTGACTGATGGCATTTCATTTTACACGCGGTAAGATGAATAGAAGTAGTTTGAATAATGTTCCAGGGATATGTTTTCAGAGTGTACTTGATAACAAAAGATAATCAATCTGCTCTGTGAGAAAACTCGTGAATTGACAGATGACTTACATGAATTTTTGGATTATGTTTAATGTTATCTGGTCTAGGGAATTTTGTGGTTGATTGTCATTTTTAGAGTACGAGCAGTAGTTCAGTGTTCGCTAATGTAGCAGAGAAACAAAGTAACGTTGGGATAAGAAGGCGTTACAATTGAAATGATCATGCTATTACATAAACATATCATTTTTGTTTCTGGTTTAAAAGGAAAGGTTGGAAGTAAATGAGGGTGAAAAGTGAAATTTAGTGTCTCTCATTGTAAATATTAGAAAATTAAGGCAAGACTGTCTGAATGAAAACATTAATGATTCCCTCTTTAATAAATGAGACAAACGGGAACGTGTTTTGAGTGATATAACTAAGCCTAGACTGCCACCGTCATTTTGGATTTCTGCTTGGGTACATTTTGGTCACGTGCTAGGCAACGTATGATCAAGAACAAGATAGTATTTCATTTCAGGCCTATTTATCAATTTTGTGGTGTATAAATTTCGCATTTTAGTACGTAATATTTTAAATCTTTAAATTGTCTTGAAACTTAAAAGAAAATTATTCTTTAAAAATTCACTGAAAATCGGTAGCTTAACTTGTTTGTTTAGGTGTTATTTGATTTTCGTGTTAACCTGTAATTTCGTCAGTTTCCGGCATCTTCTGTTGCTTCACATAGAAAAAACACACGATACGAAATGTAATGATCGATTTTGTCCTCAATCTCACGCCATAACAGAAAAAGCTTTTGAACACCTGTAAACTCCGAGCGCTTCGGATTAAGTGATATTTTTAATGAATCTTTAGATTGTTTTCAAGTTCAAGGATTGTAAATTACAATTTTATGAAAACGAAGGTTG